TCCCATGGAATGGGAGAAAATACTTGCAAATCATACCATAAGGAATTGATATCTAGAATACATAAAAAACTCATAATTCAATAATAAGATAATAACCCAATTAAAAAATAGACAAAGCATCTGAGCAGGCACTTCTTCAAAGATATACAAATGGCCAGTAAATATATAAAAAGATGCTGAAAATCAGTACTCACTGATGTGGAGAATAAAGGAGAAAGAAATATAGAAAAATTACATTTCCTTGGCAGCCCATTGACAAGTACTTGGGACAGGCAGAGTGAACTTTATCAAGGAGCATAGGTAGCTGCTCAATGTTAATACCTAGCCCAACCTCCAGGATCCTATCACAATCCTTTGGAAAATTTCCTTTCTGTATCCCCCTACCCCCAAATATATGTTAGCAATCATCCCAAGCATAGGGTCTCCTGATATACTTCTGAGTCTCATAACTAAGGTTTTATTAGACAGTAGTAAATGACCTTTTCCTAACAGCTAGCCCCTCAAAGTCCTGGAAACTTTGCTTTCAAATTCCTTGGAGACTAATGCTATCCCTAACACCTTCCCAATTTGAAAGTATATAATCAGCCACTCCTCAAAACTCTAGAGCAGTTCTTTCTGCCAACGGGTCTTGTTCCTATGGTTTAATAAAACCACCCTTTCTGCACTGAAGACATCTCAAGAATTTTTTCTTGACTGCTCCTGAACCCCAAAAGTTATATCACTCATCAGGGAAATGCAAATCAAAACTGAAATGAGACACCACCTAACAATCACTAGGATGGCTACAATGAAAATGACAATAGTTAAGTGTTAGGTAAGGATCTAGAGAGATTAGAACCCTCATACATTGCTAGTGGTAATGTAAAATGATGCATCATATGGTAACTTTATATTTGACCTTTTGAAGAACTACCAGACTGTTCTCCAAAGTGGTAAGGGGTTTCTTTTTGGGGGTGGTGAAGATGTTCTGAAATTAGACAGTCGTGATGGTTACACCGAGATAGGGAAACTGAAGGGACTCCATGAAGGACTGCTTTTCTGTTCCTTTTTTGGCTTCTAATCTTGCCAGGACCTGTACCCCGACCTTACACATGTGTGCCTTATACTTATGTATGCCTCTCCCCTTCTTGTAAGGGTCCAGGAGTTAATGATTTCTTTGGAGTATTCCAGCACAACTTATAGGAGTGACAGGGCAAGCTTGTCATGTACATTTTGCAGACCAGGCTGTAGATACCCTGACACCAAGCCTTCTGGCGTAAGTGACTTAAGGAGGACACCTGAGTCCTCATCCTTGTTTTGACCAGTTTCTGGATGCCTAAGAAGACATGCACACCAGATCGCAATCCTCAATAAAAACCCCACCCTCCAAGCAAAACAGACTCACTCTCCTTTCCTTTTGAAGTCTCTCAGATACTATGTCTCTATCTGTCCTCTCTATATATCTTCAATAAACTCTACTCTCACTTCCTCTCAGATGGTGTTTGATTTCTATCCTTTGTAAAGCCAAACACCCTCTTGGCTGGTCCTGTAGGACTCCTTCTAGATCCATGGACCCAGTCTGCCTACATCAACACAAGTCTGTGAGTATACTAAAAGTCACTGCAGGGCATACTCTAAAATAGCGAATTTCATGACATAGGAATTCTCAAAAATCTGTCATTAAAAATAATGAAAACTAAAAACTGACTATATTAAAATATACCTGGTAAGTTATATAAATAAATAGACATTCAAATGATATTTAACCCTGTGCTTTTTTTTTTTTTTTTTTAAAGATTTTATATATTTAATTGACAGCGGGAGACAGTGAGAGAGGAAACACAAGCACGGGAGTGGGAGAGGGGGAGAAGCAAGTTTCCCACTGAGCAGGGAGCGGGATGCGGGGCTCAATCCCAGGACCTCAGGATCATGACCCGAGCTGAGGGTAGTCACCCAAGACTGAGCCACCCAGGCGCCCCTTAACCCTGTATATTTGTCTTTAGAAAGCAACGTGAGATACACACAGACATATACAGGACTTTAATTTTCCCTTTCCCCAACTCCCATCATCTCCCTCTTCAAAGCTTAAGCTCCACTGTCTGATTTAGAAGGCAGTTTGGGCAGTGAATGAGGTCAGAGCCTGGTCATCAATTAATCCACTCCTGAATAATCAAGTGTTGTAAATCCAGATTAACAGCAACTACAAAAAAAGATAGTTAATTCTTTGGGTTGTTGGCCTGTCCTATCCAGTGCTCTTAAAGCACACTACTCCAAAGACTTTAATAGAGCTAAAGTTGTTTTAAACTTCAGTAAATTAAAATTTAGGGAAGAATTAAATAGATGACAGAATTTTTAAAGGTATGGCCACGATGTGAAATTGGTTGTGGCCATTTTATACAATGCCCACTTCTCTCTTAATATTGAATGCAAAAACCAGTGAATGCCAGTAATTAATACACAATATGTAACAGCACTTCTTTCTGCTTTGTGTTCATTAGAACATTTATAGTTATCTTTTAAGAGTACTAATACTCTTTCTTGGGTTCCTGTTTTTCTTTGAATGTACACATCTGAGTATCTTTCCAAAGTCTCTTGATCATTTGTTATTTGGAAAATGTTTTTATCCCAAGAGGTCAAACAGGTTTTGCAGCTTAATCCTTTCTAAATGAAGTCAAAGCTGATACACATCTATGAGTGTGCAAGAAAATTTAAAAGAAACCATACTGCAAAAACTGGGGCCGCAAATGAAAATAAATTCATCATTCAGACTGGTAGTGTACCTGAGTTGATCAAGTCAAATGATGCAATAAAAAGTGGTGAGGAACTCTGGCAAACTTGACAGCATGCCATTCTGAAGCCACACACTTTCAGCCAACTGGTTGCTATGTAGTAGGGACCTTTTATTACCAAATCTTCTCATTTTTCTCAAAGACCCAGAAATCTGGATTTTCATGTGAAGTTGGGATTAAATGTTAACACAACTGAAGAAATTTTAACCCTCCTTTCTGGTTACTTCTAGGTTATGTCAAGGGCTAAATTTTCAGTTTGGTCAGCTGGATATCAAATGTTAGTTACGAGTACTTATTCAGCACAGAAAACACTTTCAAGTTCACAGCAGTACTATAGGTTAAAATATACCATAAATTATCACAAACAGCTTTGGGCTCCAATGACCCTCATTCTAGGTATGGTTTATTAAGGAAACAAAGCTAGATTCTTGTGCCTCACAAACTTTTCCATTTAGTATACTTAACGGAACAGATAATGAACAGAAATCCATGCCCCCCAACCAGTCTCCTCTTTTTATTTTGAAACTTCATGACAGTTTCATATGAATAAAAAAAAAAAAAACAAAACACCTGAGACAAACTTTCATTTCTACTCCATAATACAGACATGCTTTTTTTTTTTTTCTTTTTTAAAGTAATCTCTTCGCCCAATGTGGGGCTCAAACCTACAATTCAGAAATCAAGAGTTGCATGCTTTACCGACTGAGCCAGCCAGCCGCCCCACAGCCATGCTTGTTTTAATATAAAAACTGTCCTGGGGGCGCCTGGGTGGCTCAGTGGGTTAAAGCCTCTGCCTTCGGCTCAGGTCATGATCCCGGGGTCCTGGGATCGAGCCCCGCATCAGGCTCTCTGCTCACCAGGGAGCCTGCTTCCCTTCCTCTCTCTCTGCCTGCCTCTCTGCCTATTTGTGATCTCTGTCAAATAAATAAATAAAATCTTTAAAAAAAAAAAAAAACTGTCCTGTTGTTTCTCTCAATAATATTTGTCATGCTTATTTTGTGGCTTCACAGAGTCCATAACACAATGCTCGCTAACTCCGAGGTACAGGTCACCTGTTTGAGGAGCAAGGAATCCGTTTTGTCTGCTAAAGTATTTTTCTCTGGAATCCAAAGGCCTTTCTTGGAATTCAGAGCTTTAAGGAGTGATGCATAAATAAACGTACTCCTGAAGATTTTAATCTTAAGACTAGTATACTGCGAAAGCCTGCTGAATGAGGGCAATTTCACGGTTTAGCGAAAATAGGCATTTTTGGGTTAACTCATTTCATCTCAGAAACATTACAAATGCTTTTAGAATAAAACACGACGTTTTTCAACCTCCTTTTCTTTGAGGCATCGCATCCCCTTACACTTGTCTATCATCCCCACGAACTACAGAATTTCTCCTCTTGTCATTCCCTCGAGGATAAATTCGCCTTCTGTCTTCCCACAAAGATCCCTCTTTCCAAGCCCCAAATCCCGGGCAACGCCTCTCCGCGCAGAAGCCGCGGGAGGAGGAGGAGGAAGAGGAGGAGTAAAGCTAAAGCAGGCCCTCCGGACGCTGGCCTGTGGAACGCTATGGAAGCACAAGACGGAGCAGTCCCGGGTTTGGGCAGGGCCCACCCTCAGAAGCGTCCCAGCCGGGCCAACCAAGGTTGTGCCCGCAGAGATGCTGGTTCCGCTATCCAGCCACGGCAGGACTCAGAGGCAGGGCGGGGGAGAACGACGGTTTTGCCAAGCGTTTACTCCGGCCTCAGCCTCTGGGATGCTGGATGACGGACATGGAGGACCAGCCAAACCCTGCGCGTCCCCGGGTCGGCTCAGACCGCACAAAGAGCCCCTGCCGGCCTCCCGCAGTTTCCTCACCTGTGCTTGGCGGCCGACCCTCCGAACCCACAGCGCCACCGGGAGAAGCCCTGCGCTTCAAGAGAGACGACAAGAAGACGCTACAGCCCCACGAGCGCTAACTGCTCCAACTCCACCGCCGCCGGGGACTCCAGGTTAGGCTCTGGGGAACGAGCCCCGCCCCTCTCCTTTTGCCCCGCCCCCGACTGGCGAGGATCCCGGATGTTGCCTCCTACGGCGCGCTGAATCCCCGCCCTTTCTTCTTAAGCCCCGGCCCCTTCCGAATCCGCTACGGGTCCTGCACGGCCTAGGAAGAGTTTCGCTGTCTCCTGGGTGGCTAGAGCGTCCTCCCGCTCTCTGTCGCGCTGCAGGTGACGGAGCCCGGAGGCTGTCGGGAAGTAGGCGGGGTGACGTGGGGTTGACGAGCTCAGCGGCGGGTTTGCCGAGATCAGTGGCTGGCTGCAGCTGGTGCGGGGGGCGGCCGGATCCTGAGGTGGAGCGGGGCGGTGTGTGGCCGGGGCCATGACGGGCAATGCTGGGGAGTGGTGCCTCATGGAAAGCGACCCCGGGGTCTTCACCGAGCTCATTAAAGGATTCGGTGAGAGACAAGGGACCGTCCTGGGCCGGGGGTCACGGGAGGAGGCCCAAGCTGGGCATGGAGTGGTTCTCTGCGGCCACCGCCGCCTTGCGTCCGAAGGGAGGAGACTCCAGAAGCCTGCATCGCGGAGGTCTCTCGTCCCCTCCTCAGTCTTGGGCAGTCGCGTTTCCACACTGAATTTGAGAGCTTCATCACGAGGGCAGGGATCCTGTCTGTCTTGTGCACTGTCGTATCCTCAGGACTCGGCAATCAATTACTTGTTAATTGACTTGGGCGCTCCTCGCCCCCGCCTTTCACGCACGTATCTTTCCCTTTCCACGGTCGCTTCTCTGGGGAGCGTTCCCTTTACCCGGCAGGTGTGCCTAGATGCACGTTCTCAAGCCATCAGTCTTGCAGGAAAAGCTAGGGTGTACCTCCTCGACGGTGGGGTGTGTATGGCCCAAGCCTTGCAGGAACCCGAGATTCTGGTTACTCAAAGTAGAACACCTTGAGTGTGTGAGTAGCTCTGCGGACGTTCACACACGCTGACTGCATGGGACTGACAAGCCACTTGGTTAGTTCTTCTCCCGGCTCGCTTTTTGGCTTCCGGTAAAGTGTGGTTTCTTGAGCTAGTGCTCTAGACTAGAGGCCACATGCTTTCCTCAGGGTTTTTTTTTTTTTTTTTTTTTTTTTTTTTTTTTTCCCTGACCATGTTTCTTGTCTTACATCCTAAATAGTCAGCATATTTGACTTTTTATCCTTTTGTGTCCATCTTCCCATTCTTTTCTTTGGGCGGTAACTTTTTATTTAATTGCTACATTTCTTCAAGTATTATTAATTCTAGCTATTATGTTAAAACTTGTACTCGGGATAAAAACTAAACTTTGATATAGATACTGTCTATTGTACATAGATGACTATTTGGAATATAATTTATCAAGCATGTGTTGTTTACCTACTGTATCTCAGGCACACTGATACGGCTTGGGAATTTTCAGTGTGAATAAACCATGACTGCTCTTATAAAGATCTGACCCTCAAACTAATATTGTTTTTTAATTGCTATGTTAGAGCATATACAAAATGTTATGGGAACACAGGTCATGGAAGAGCAAAGAAAAAACATAAACTGTAGTAATGTTAAAGTATATGCCACAGGAAACAGCTAGCAAAGTGACAAAAAAAGAATGTAACAGTCAAGAGAACTGTTTGAATCTGAAGCTGAAAGGTAAACTGAGGCCAGATTGTATGCTGAGTTGTATAGTTTGGATTGCCCTGTAGTCACTGGGGACTTAACTGCCAAAGATATTTGAATGCCGAAATGACATTTTTATAATTAAAAAAGGTTTACTATGTGTAGTGTGCAGGGTGGAGTGGTATGAAGGGAGAGAAGCTAGCAGTTTCTTAAAATGGTTGGAGTCAGGTGATTAGCTTGACCTAAAGTTATGGGTTAAAGAGGAGGAGGTAGTTGGAGTAATTTTGCTCCATTTAAATCAACAGGACTACTGACTGGATGTAGGGGAAAGGGTGAAAATGACTCCATGGATTCTAGCTTGAGTGGCTGATGAAGCTTGATGAACAAGCTTGATGAACAAGCTTGATGGACAAGAAAATGAATTCATTTTTGAATAATGAGTTTGAGATGTCTGCAGGTTTACCTTCAAAACCTTAACTATTATGACATATTAAAGTTAACATTAAGAAATAGTGTATTAAGCAAGTTTGTTTTTAAATCCACTCCATTAACAGCTATTGCTTCAGTCCCATATGTATAGAAAACTTACAATCGAAAATGATTAAAAGTCATGAATTAGAGTGATATGTAAATGCATCTTCTGTACTGGCACATATGAAAAGTGAAGAAATTACTATTAATAGATTGGCTACATTAGCAGAAAAACTTTGCAAAAAGTTAAATGATGCAAATTGTGTATCATCATCAGATACCTCAAAGAGAAAATCAGTTTATTCCAATCATTTCCTTTTTTTTCTCTTATCTAACTCGTAGATTTAAAAAGCTTTTTGAAGTTCGTTTTTTAAAAAGTAGATAATCTTATTGTGTTATGAAAGCTATTTGTCAGTTTATTTTGAAGGTTTCTTCACTGGAAGAATTGTGGAGTCAGTGAATATATAAATACAAATTTTAGTGAAATATAACATCATGGTAAAACAATATTCTTTTTTTGTTTTTTTAAAATTTGTTTATTTGAGAGACTTCTCCAGCATGTGTGCAGGTATGGGGGGGCAGGAGAGAGAGAATCCTCAAGCAGACTCCTCACTGAGCACAGAACCCCATACAGATGCAGGGCTCAATCTCACGAGCACAAGATACTGACCTGAGCTGAAACCAAGAGTGGGCCACTTAACCAGCTGAGCCACCCAAGCACCCCAAAAAACAAAGTTCTTATTAAGAAACTGATGGAGTACAAGCAGAATTTACAGTTTTAATTGGTGCGGTACATACATAATTCATAAATGCACCAGAATAGTGATGGTCTACTGATTAAAAACAGAAGCGTAAACTTCCGTTTCCAGCCAAAATGGAATAACAGGGACTGCATTTACTTTTCCTACAACAAATCAATGACCCCAATTTCCATTTCAAGAACCTAGAAAATGAAGAGCAAATGAAACCTGAAGTAAGCAGATGAAAGGAAATAATACAGATCAGAGTTGAAATTAGTGAAATAAAAAAGAAAAATGATGGAGGAAATCAATGAAACTAAAAGCTGGTTTCTCAAAGATCAACGAAATGGATAAACCTCTAGTCAGCCTTATCAGAAAAAGAAGAGCAGGGGGCTCTTGGCTGGCTCTGTTGGTAGAGCATGTGACTCTTGATCTTGGCTTTGTAAGTTTGACCCCCATGTTGGATGTAGAGACTGTTTAGAAATAAAATCTTAAAAAAAAAAAAATTAAAAAAAAAAGAGGAGACACAAATGACCAATATTAGGAGTAAGAGAGAGGATACTGCTATAGATTTTATAGATTAAAAAGATAATGGAGTATTCTAAACATCATTATGCCAATAATTTGACAACTTGGATGAAATGTATAAATTTCTTTAAAGACAAAAATTACCAAAGCTCAAACAAGAATAACCAGTATAGCCTTACATTTACCAAATAAATTAAAATTGTAACTTAAAATCTTGCCACAATGAAAACTCCAGCCAAAATTTCTTTGCTGATAAATTATTTCAAATACTTCAGGATTAAGTAATACCAATTCTACACAAACTTTTCCCCAAAAAAACAGAGAAGGAATATTTCCCATCTCATTCATTGAGGGCCATCATTACCCTAACTCCCAATCCAAAGACATTATAAGAAAGTAAACTATAGACCTAACTCCATCATCAACATAAATGCAAAAATTCTGAACAAAATATTAGGAAATCTAATAATATATTGAGTGGACAATATATCATGCCTGACTGGGATTTATCCTGGGAATTCAGTGTTGGTTTAACATTTGAGATTCAGTGTGATTTACCATATTAACAAGCTAAATAAAAACTATATGATTATCTCAATAGACACAAAAAGCATTTGATAAAATCTAATGTCTGTTAAGAAATACATGCTACTATATTTTACCGTTTGCCAGCCAATGAGTTAGTCTGGCTCTGTTTTATAAAAGATTGTATTGATATATTGATAAAGAGAGAAAGAATTATATTACTGTTGACACAGTAAGCAGCTGGAGATTCATGTTTGCATTGGTTCCCTTGTCCTACAGGTCCATGGGAGTCAAGATGGATCCAGGTGGATGTTGCATACATGGATCTATGTGATAGTTAAGGAACCCTGAGCTTAGGGGACTTTTAATTAAAGAGGTTGCTAACAAACCTGATCAACCTTTACCTTTAGGAATATTCTATGGACAGAAAATACATCTTATCTCTGCACCAGGGGGAGACACTGTCTCTGTCTTATGTCTGTTTATCAAAATAACGTCATTGAAAAGATAGTCCAGAACTTTCAGAAGACAAGCAGAAACAGGAGAAACTCATTGAAAGTTGTCTCCCAACAAAATCCATTCTTGTTTTCCAAATCAAACTTGCCTTTCCCTCAGCTGCTCTGATTAATTTGGCCTGACTCATAGGTACCAAGTCTGTTTATCTCTTGTAGTGTTTACATTAGAAAGCAGGTGGCTTTCTTCTTAAATTTTTGTATTGACTTTTTGTCTTGTTTTAAGGCATGAACTTAGGTATATAGTGATTTTAGTGATTGCATGGACTCCTCCTGGGCTTGCAAGGAAGAAGTCTTGCAGAATTCCATCATCCGCAACTCTGACGCAGGAGTTGAGACAAATCTGAATGACTTTGGGGGCCAATATAGAGTTGCCTTGCCAAGAAGGTCAGTTATGATTTCTCTTGAGGTACATGTTACCTTGTTTTGAGGAGAGAGGCAAGTTAATGCCTGGTTTCACACAAAAAGTAAAGGTATACTTATGAGAGTACACCTGGTACCCCTAGAAACAAGTATTGCTTACAATTGTTGGGGCCCCCAAAATAGAAGCGTCTCGTTAGGAATACAAGTCAACAGCTTTCCAACTTGAGGTTCCCAAATAGTTGAGTCTAGTCCTTGTTTTTGAAGTGCTTGCTTGAGTGCCCACAATCCAGTTTTTCCTATTTGGTCACATCACTAACTAAATAACATGGAATAACATGATTAGTGAAGATACTTGGTGCTATTTTTTGGTAGGAGGTACAGAAGTGGGGGCCGTGCCTTTACTTCTGGTAGACTTGGTGAGGTTGGGGGAATGACAGATTGTGTAAACTGTTGGAGGATAGCATTAAATTTAAATTTAAGGCACTGGCGACAGGGAGGACCCTACCACGGTATTTTTCTTGGGAAGAAATGTGCCAGGATGTTTTTAAGAGAGCTATTTCTTGAAATTAGTTTTTGAATAGAACTGTTTTATGAAGCCACCAGTATCATAATGCAAATGTATTTGTCAATACGTAAATATTTCAAACATATTTTAATTTTAGTACTTCCTTTCACTTCGGAGCAGTGTGTTCTGGTTTGGATGACAGATTCTATGGCCAGCCTGTTTAAGACCCAGTTCAATTATCCGTGGAAAGTGTCTCTGATCAGCAAAGACAGCGGTGGTCTCTCCTACCTCATAACTTTGAGTGTATCTTTCATATGTAAATTCGCTGCATTGTCTTTGAATTGTATATACTTGTTTTCTACTAGTGATGAAATCCTTCCTCCTTTCCTCCCTCCTTCCTTCTTTCCTGCCTGTCTTCCTTTCTTTCGTTTACCCCCAGTGTGGGACTGAAATTTAGGACTCTGAGATAAAGAGTCAGAGGATCTATTGACTGAGCCCCCCGGGGTCCCCCTAGTTGTGATAGTATTAAGTGTCATGACAATTGTTTATTATTTTCTGTCCTTGCCAGGACCTAGTACCATGCTTGGCACCTAAAAGGTATTTGTGAAATACCAGCATTTTGTTAACTTTTTAAAGCTTTCCCCACCCTGCCCCCATCTTTTTACTTAACATATGTCAGGAAGTTTGCATTAGGGGATTCTTTATATTTAGTGTTAATAAATGTATACCTTACAAGAACTGTGTGGATTGGATGAAGCAGAGGAGTACCCTTATTTTATACACAAGGAAAGTGAGGCTCAAAGACATTGTGTTCTTGCTCAAGGTTAAGAATTTTAAGGTACTGCTGGGATTGGAATACAGCTCTCTTGAATCACTGCTGCTTTTTTTTTTTTTTAAGATTTTATTTATTTATTTGACAGACAGAGCTCACAAGCAGGCAGAGAGGCAGACAGAGAGGAGGAAGCAGGCTCCCCACAGAGCCGAGAGCCCGATGTGGGGCTCGATCCCAGGACCCCGGGATCATGACCCCAGCCGAAGGCAGAGGCTTAACCCACTGAGCCACCCAGGCGCCCCTACTGCTGCTTTCTTTTTCCTGTACCATACGTTATTTGAAATTGAGTGTACATAAGGGAACTATTAGATATTCAATGTGTATAAGGTGATAGATACTAAGAGTTGAATATTATGTTTTCCTTATATAAAGAGACTGTGTGTGTTTAGCATAAGGTTTAAACAGGTGTCACCACTTGAAATTCACCCTGTGCAGAAGATTTGGGGACACTTTTATTCAGTGGATTTTTGTTGTTTTAGTATGATACATACAATGTTTTGATGTTTGGCCTTTTTACAGTTGATTTCTAATAGCAGTAACCAGTGTTAACAATTGCCTTAGTGTCCTTCCGTGCCCTTTTTGACACTCAAAAATACAGGTTCACACTTACAAGGCATTTCCCTCTAACTTCCTATATGTGAATGTCTAGCAACATGTTTTCTACTACAATCAATCTAGTAACTCTCCCTTGTACATACATCTTTTCATGCAGAGCGGGTACTTAGGGACGCCTGGGTGGCTCAGTAGGGTAAGCGTCTGCCTTTGCTTCAGGTCACGATCCCAGGGTTCTGGGATTGAGTACCACATAGGGCTTCTTGCTCAGCAGGGCTTCTGCCTCTGCCTGCTGTTCTGCCTCCTTGTGCTCGCTCTCTTTCTCACTGACAAATAAAAAAAGTTAAAAAAAAAAAAAAAAAGAGAGAGAGGATACTTAATAGATATTTGCTGAATAGAGCAAATTGAGTCTGAGGTGGTATGAATGTCCAAAGTCATGTAGTTGGTTGACCCAACTTTTTTTTTTTTCAGGTAGATCAAAGGCTTCTCTAGCTTTTACTTGAAAATAATCTGGAATATTAAAATATGTCCAGACTTTGGAACCAGATGAGGGTTTTATTAGTTTTTTGGCATATACTAACTGTAGTGAATTTAGGCAAGACACTTAAGATCCCTAAACTTCTGTATAATACTTGCCTTGCAGTGATTAGGGAAAATGCATTTAAAGTACTTTACAGATAGAAGACACTGTAAATATGGCTGGTTTTTGTATTGAGATAATATTAGTTAATAGTTAGTAAACCCTTACAGTGTGCCAGGCACTGTATTAAATGTATCTCATGCATACTAAATTATCTCATTGATTCCTCATAGCAACTCCATGAGTTTTGGGGGACAGAGAGGTTAAATGGTCATATAGCTAGTAAATGGAGGACCCAGGATTCAAACCCTGGCATTTTTGAAGCCTACCTCTTAACCAGTACACTGTTACTATGATACCACTAGGACAGGGTTTCTCGACCTTGGCAATGTTGACTTTTTGGGCCAAATGATTCTTTACTGTTGGTAGCTGTCCTTTGCACTGTAGGATGTTTAGCATTTCTGGCCTCTATCCATTAGATGCCAAGGCCTTCCCACCGATGACAATAGTAACAATAAAAATATCTCCAGACATTATAAAATCTTTCTCAGGCAGCAGGGGGAGGAGGGGCAGAGAGTGGGGGACAGAAAACATCACCTGATTGAGAAACACTATCCTAAGGAAGTGTATGTTTGGGGGGCTCTGAGATAGTTGAAAATAAAATTATATTAAAAACAGTATAGAATTGGAATTTAGGAAAAGGGTCAGAACTAAACATGTGATGTGAAAGTCAGTGTTAAATGGTAGTTATTTATTATGACTTAAAAAAAAGTGTATAGAAAAAAAAGAAGAGGGCCAAGGGAAGAACTAGGCAAATGGCACTTGAATGAAAAGAGCAGATGCAGAAGAGGGAGAGATTGAGAGAGACTGAGAAGTCTGGGGTGGCGTTTCAGTGAAAAACTCTTGAAAATTCTTTAAATTATAAAAGTAATATACTCCCATTATAAATAACTAGAAAGTAGTGAAAGAAGTAAAAGGATTTGGCTGTGAACTTCATCAGTTTAACCATTTCATTTTATCTTGTCTCATTGTCCCTAAATGTGCATTTTTTTTCCAGTTAGTATTTTATTTAATGATGAAGGAAAAAAAATGAGTTACTTTGTTTTCTAAAGAAATAATTTCTTATATCAGGTTGCCGAGGAGCCCAAGTAGAAGAAATATGGAGTTTAGAGCCTGAGAATTTTGAAAAATTAAAGTAAGTATGATCTTAGTTGTGTTAAAAATAATATGTCTGTACTTTAAGCAGACTGTTTTCTGTTTATTTTACTTGGATTGCTTTAGAATGATTACATCATCTCCTTTAAGTCTTTCTTTGATCTTGTGAGATAGGTACTATTACTCTCATTTTATAACCCAGACCTGAGACTCATATATAAGTAACTTTTAAGCGATTAAAAAGTAAGTCTCTATAATTCCATGTCAGAATTGGTTGATTGGTTGAGTTTTTACAATATTCACTTGTAGATCAATGGGGTTAGAACACAGGACACATTTTAACATTAAAAAAGTGAGTAATAAGTTAATCTACAAAAGCATATTTAGTAGATAACCTATATTAATAGTAATTCAGAACTTGTCTATACATTATCACATTGCTTTTTGGGGAGGTTACAGTTTAGATTCCAAGTGTAGGTGCCAGGAAGTACCTTCCTTTTCCCCATCTTTCTGACTCAAATCACCTCTTTAAGACTCCCCTAACGTCAATCTCCATGCCCCCAAGCATTGACCCTGTATTGTGAATAGAGGGCTAGAGGAATTTTCATTGGAGGGAGAATTCTTGGATTCTTGGAATGTGACAAGGAGTAGGCTTCTAGAGGGGAAATGGGGACTGTAGAGATATAGCTACTGTTTTTAATAGTAAAGAGATCATTTGCTTCTCCCTACTTTCCCCTTCCCCACAGAAAGAACAGTGACTTGAGATGAATTAAGGGATCAATTCTGGCTGAGTGATCAGGAAAGGTTAATTAAAAATATGTCATTTGAACTGTCTTTAAAGACTAAGAAAGGGTTTTGTTGCATGGAAGACAGTTATAAAAGACTGGAGAGAATCCTAAAGTGGTGATTTAATGTTTAATGGGCAACAAGAGTTCCTTTAGGGAAGTGGATGACTTAATTATGTATAAGATGATAGCATCCATTCATACTGCAGTTTGATGATTTTTCATGAATCCAACAATTATATAAAGGTGACTTAATATATTTTATAATATATATGCTATAAGCCATTTATCTATAAATATCCCATGTGAATTTTATTCATATAGATTAGAATTTAGTCTACGGTTAACAGCTTCTTTTAGTTTTGCGATGTTCTTATTTTTAGTTTTTAGTGAAGTGATATAAGGTAGAAGTGCATAATCCAGATTTGAGAATAAACCTTTCATTTTAATTCTGTTTTCTGTAATGTAATTTTAAGGTTTATTAACCATGTTCTAGGCAACATTCTAGTGACTGAATGACAATAGAAATCTTAAAAAATTTTCTCAAACTTACTTTGTTTGCAATGTATTTGTTAAATAGCTGATTAAAATGTAATGTATTGACAGCATATTAAAAAATAACAGGTTTTGGTGTCACTAATTTGTATTTTATTTTGTAGGCCAGTTCATGGGTTAATTTTTCTTTTCAAGTGGCAGCCAGGAGAAGAACCAGCAGGCTCTGTAGTTCAGGACTCCAGACTTGACACAATATTTTTTGCAAAGCAGGTATGCTCCTTGGGTACTCTGAAGTCTTGAGAGTTCTATAAACAGAAGTCTATTTCACTTTTTTGTCTTCGGTGTTGCAGTCCTCAAGCTTTTTTGTCTTAGGACCCCTTTACATTCTTAAAAATTGTTGAGCTCTCCAAAGAGCTCTTCTGTTTATATGGATTATATTTATCAATATTTATTATATTAGACATTAAGACTGAGACATTTTGAGAGAATTTTTTTTTAAAGATTTTATTTATTTATTTGACAGAGAGAAAGAGAGAGATTACAAGTAGGCAGAGAGGCAGGCAGAGAGAGAGAGGCAGAAACAGGCTCCCTGCTGAGCAGAGAGCCCAATGCAGGGCTCCATCCCAAGACTCTTGAGATCATGATCTGGGCTGAAAGCAGAGGCTTATTAACCCACTGAGCCACCCAGGTGCCCCCATTCTGAGAGTATTAATTGATTTTTAAAAACAGTAAATGCATTACATGTTAAAATAAGTAACACATTTTTTAGTGAAACATAATCACACTTACCAAACAAAAAAAATTAGCAAGAAGCTTTACATTTACGTTTTACATTGTTTTACATTTTTGCAGATCTAATGTCTGGCTTAATAGCTCACAGCTAGATTCTCCTTTCTGCTTCTTTATTCAGTCTGTTGCAGTATTTTTGTTTTGTTTTGCTTTTGTTTGAAATATATGAAGAAAATTCGATTTCACACATATGTGTAGTTGGAAAGGGAGGAGTATTTTAATGTCTTTTTCGGAGAATTATGGATATTCTTTGATATCAAAACTCCAAAAATGTTGCTTTCTTAAGGGTTAAGTTGCAAGTGACATCTGAAACCATATCATTGAACTTTACTCCTTATTATATTAAAAACTTTGGTTTATCTTGCTGTGCAAATGGGTCTTTTACTCGTGCAACATTTGATAATATTGTGTATTGGTCATTTTGAAAGTTCACCAACTTATACAGATCTTCTAAATGTTGACACATTTGATTACATACATTATCAATAAGTCACATGTGTATCATCAGAAAAGTCGTTAAGTATCATGGAACTTTTAAACTAATAGTGGAATATCTTAATCTTACCAAATTCTAATTTTCACTTGAAAGTTCAAATTTTATCAATAAAACCAAATACTGTCAGGGATTTTCCTTCAAGTAACAGGCTCATTTCACTCAGTTCAAAGAAAAATACCTGCCGCATACCTTGTTGAACAACTGTATTTGTCTGTCATTTGTGTTTTCAAATGAAAAAGATGTTCCAAGATAAAAGCAGCCAACTTAGCTCACAACTCAAAGAGTTGTACTGCTGCCTTTTGTTGAAATGACTAGCATATTTTGGTTTGCAGCAGAAGTGCTTTATTTGTGCTACCTATTTCATTTGGTAGAATATTACAGACTTGTACTTCAATGTCAGATTTTAGTAAAAATTTATTGCTTCATTAAAGACAGTCTTCAGTAAAACTTTTTTTTCTTCTTTTTCTTTCTTTCTTTCTTTTTTTTTTTTTTAAGCTATCTATGTCGATGAAACAGTTTAATGCCACTGTCCAGATTTGGTGCTAAAATACCAGCAGTGTTATTATTGCTATTCTATATTGCTGTAGATACTACATCTATTGCTATTATAATATCAGTGCAAATGTGAAAGCAGGGTAGAAGTCAAAAACTATCTTTGAATTATTATGGGAACAATTTTTGAGCACATGAACCCCTTGAGAACGGTCTTAGGAATTCCCAGGGGTCCATGGACTGCACTTGAGAACTGCTGTTCTAGTATATACAGTGCAGTGATGAATATTATTATATGCCTCCGTACATTTGGTCCATTGTTTGGAAAAGCTGAAAAAGAGAATGATAAAAGAGGTTTGATTAATGTTTAAAATCTAAGCTAAATTTGATGACATTGTTTGAAAATTGCACTCATTTCTGAGACTCAAAAAATTGCTTAGGATAATCTGTTTAACCTTTAGAAAGGTTGAGAATAAAACTGCAAAATCTCATTACTGTCCTTTGGATGAAGCCTTTGCCATTCCACTTGGTAACTTGTTTTCCCTTTTCTTCTTACTACTACTTTCCACTTTCCTCCGATTTTTTAAAATTGAGTGTTTTTTTGAGAGAAATTATCACTTTCTTCTTTTATTTTAAGGGTTAAGAGAATATTATCGTGTATTTTTTTCTGATAGCAGAAATTCAAGTACAGAAATATATAGTGATAAGAATGACTATCTTTGTAATCCCACACCCTTCTCTACTAACCACTTTTAATGGTTTGACTCATTCATTTAATCAACAAGTAGTTTTGAGCACCCACTTTGTGCTAGGCATTGTTTTTAAGGTACTAGAGGAATAATGATGACTAAGACAGGCATGTCTCTTAATTTCAACAATAATGAAAATAATACAGCAGTAGCCAACATTTACCATTCTTACTGTGTATCAGATACTGTGCTTTAGATATATTATTTATTTGATCCTTGCAACAACTCTGTGAGGTTGTTACCCTAATATTACAGATGAAGAAATTGAGATCTGGAAAAATAATTTTTCAGAGGTCACACAGAATTTAAACCCGGGTCTAAAACTTACGTTTGTGATTCCACATGCCATACTATCTCCCACATTGTCTTTTTATATGCTAACATATTCTCATTATAATTTTCTTACTAAAGTTGGATTGTTATGCAAAATATTTTGCATCATTTTTCACTTAATGATAAAAGTTTGACTTTGCTCTATTTCCATACACATAACAGTATTAGCTAACATTTTCTATAGGTTTATTAGGTACTTCCATATGTATTATTTTTATGTATTAATTTATTTGTAGTAGCCAATACTCACAACAACACTATGTGGTTTTATACATTCCTTATTATTTCACAGATGTGGAAACTGAATCCCAGAGAGGTTATGAAACTTGCCCAAGTTATGCAGCTAGTCATTGGCAGAGCTGGACTGCAAACTCAGGCACTGTAGCTCTGAAGTTTATGCTCTCAACCACATCACAACATAGTCTCTTTTAAAAGACAATGTCCTATAATTTATTGGTGTAAATGTTCTACAGTTTATTTAACTAATCTCTTAATGACCAACATTTTGAGTTTCTGTTTATTTCTCTAACACAAGTAATTTGTTTATGTATTATAATACTTGTACTTATTATGTATTACTGTACAACAGTAATTCTTTTTTTTTTTTAAAGATTTATTTATTTATTTATTTGACAGAGAAATCACAAGTAGGCAGAAGTAGGCAGAGCAGCAGGCAGAGAGAGAGGGAGAAGCAGGCTCCCCGCTGAGCAGAGAGCCTGATGTGGGGCTCGATCCCAGGACCCTGAGATCATGACCTGAGCTGAAGGCAGAGCCTTAACCCACTGAGCCACCCAGGTGCCCCTACAACAATAATTCTAATTTCAAAACTGCAGGCTGTGATTTTCAGGATCTAGATAGTAGAGAAAAAGTAGGAGACAGATAATTTTTTTAAAAAAGACTTTATTTATTTGACAGAGAGAGATTCAAGTAGGCGGTGAGGCAGACAGAGAGAGAGAGAGAGAAGCAGGCTCCCTGCTGAGCAGAGAGCCCCACATGGGGCTTGATCCCAGGACCCTGAGATCATGACCTGATCCAAAGGCAGAGGCTTAACCCACTGAGCCACCCAGGCAGCCCAGAGACAGATAATTTTGAAAGTCCTTCAGGTGTTTTTCTCCTTGTAAAGGAGGATTTTTTATATTTTAAGGTATATAAATATATATGCTCATTTTACAAAATTTAAGCATTATAACTATATGATGTAGGAAATAAAAGTCCCTTATAATCCCTGCTTCAGAGATAACCACAGAAATTATTTATATTCTTGAACATTTTCTCTGTGTGTATGTGTGCATTTAATTTCTTCCACACTGTATGTCTTTCACACTAAATTGTGAACCTGGGAGTCTGGGGTTTTGTTTTTATGTACAGTCCCTAGCACATAGTAGATATCCAATAAATGCAGACTGAGATCTTCATCTCTAAGAATATTACAGTTAACACTAGTATTAACTAACACTATGACATTAATGATTTATAGAGGTCAAAGTATTTTTAAGGTAAAAGAAAGTACTCTAAAGAAAAATGTTCTAGGGTTTGAATTTGTAATATTTTTCTAGGTCTGTATTTCTGTCTTAACTATAATTTAATGTTTTATTTGTATTATATTATTCCTGCCATATTTATTAATGTCGAGGATTTGTGATTTTCCAATAATACTGGGTGTTTTTTGCACTATATTACCTCAACAGTTCGTATTGAACTGAATCAGTATTTCCTAATAATATCTTTTAGTCTTTTTAGTGTATGCCTCCTTTGAGCCTATGCCAGAAACTTCGTATTACATAAATATATAATCCTTAATTCTAGGCTTCAATAAATTCAATAATGATTGTATCCAGAAAATTTAAAAAATTTTTAAAAATGTAAAAATTTAAAAATTTTTTATTCAGAAAATTTAAAAATGTAATTAAAATTATATTTATATAAAATATTTATATATTTATATAATAAAATATATTATATATTTATAATTTAATGTAATTAAATTATATTTATTTATGATAAGGTTATACATATTAACTAAGTATATATTTTTGGTATTTATGGATGGAATTATATCAGTTTAGAGAGGTAATAGTAATACTGGCTGTCTTAAGCTGATCATACACTCTAATTGTGGAACTGCATGTACGTGGATCACTGATTAAGAAGTACTGAGAAAAGAATCTAGTAAATTGTGTGTAAGAAATGACATTTGGGGGGTGCCTGGGTGGCCCTGTTGGTTAAGCGATTGCCTTCGGCTCGGGTCATGATCCCAGAGTCTTGGGACCGAGCCCCGCATCAGGCTCCCTGCTCAGTGGGGAGCCTGCTTCTCCCTCACCCTCTGCTGCTCTGCGTGCTTGTGTCTCTCGCTCTGTCAAATAAATAAATAAAATCTTAAAAAAAAAATGACATTTGGTAGCACTTTGCTG